ATATATAATACAAAGTTATCGTTTTGCCCCTTCTAAAATTAGTGAAAATAGTGAAAAAAAAAAAAATTAAGTGGTCATGATGAAATGATATATGAAATTAGGTGGTAATGGTGAAACGTTATATAAAATTGGGTAGATATAGTAAAATAAAATCAAATTGGGTAGTTATGATAACACTAAATATAAAGTTGGATGGTCATGATAAAACAAAATCAAATTTTGTGATCATGGTGATACTAAATATAAAATTGGGTAGTCGTTTGTGGATTTAGTCTCAAGTATAATGTAGCAATCAAAAGATTATCACCATGTTTGAGTCCTGCTGTTTGATAATAGATTTTGTAAAAAAATAAATTTTTTTGGATGATATATATAGTTAAAAATAAAAAAAATTTTAAATTAACATACAAAATTATTTAAGAACCTAGTTAAAAATAAAAGAATTTTAAATAATAGAATTCAAAGAACACACATTCTGACAAAATGGTACAGTGTACCTGGGGTAGCACTGATATGAACGACATCCTATGTTTTCAATATTTCAAGGCCTAAAAAAGCCAGGGCCGGCCCTGGCCCAAGGCAAACAAGGCAGTTGCCTTGGGCCTCAGAATTTAAGGGTCCACAAAAAAGAGGCCACCCTAGTCCATTACAGACCATTAGAAAAAAAATCCGTTCTTCTTAACGAGAGGAAACTCAAGAAAACGAAGAGTCTTCCTCCTCGAGACTCCAATCAATGAATGAAAAACTTCCAGATTTTTGTACAAAAAGGAAAAGGAAAAGACGGACTGCAATTGAAGAAGAAAAACTTCCAGATGTTTGTACAAAACCACATCAAAGAAGTCGATTGCAGAGAATGCGATTGTAGTTCTTTATTTAGAGAAGACGATTGCAGAGAAGGCGATTAAATATGTTTTCAGTTTGTATTTGAATTCCCCAATTAGTTTGTGTTGGTTCCACTTTTTCGAAAAGCTTCAAGCCTTCAACTAAGGTATTCACTATTCCGTCCCACACTTTTGATTGAACGACTTCAGTGAATAATCATGTTTGAATAGAAGTTTTGTATTTTCTTCACCCCTTGCATTACTACGATTATATGAAGAACAGAATGTGTATATCAGTATATGAGAGAGAGAGAGAGAGAGAGAGAGAGATTTACTGGATCAGTATAAAATGGTTCCAAGTTTAATTTCATTTAAATTGAAAGGGGATTCATGGATGATGACATGAGTTTGATAATGTTTGTGTTTTTCTAGGGAATCTTGATTTTGTAGTGTATAATGTTTGGACATGAATTCTTTAATGTGGTGTTTTTGCTAACTGGGTAATTTTGATTATTTTTTCCCATATGGGTTAAGTTCTGTCTAAGCCAAATTGACCATTTCCTCCGTGAAAGAGGATATTGGCTATGCAGATTGGTTCTCTTTTCTTTCTGAATGTGAGCTTCATATTCATGGGAAAGAATGAAGAATCTTATTTTGTAATATTATATTTCTTGCATATTTATTTAGTCGATTATAATTACAGATTGCAGGAAGTTCTTATCTTCTATAACTAATATCTCGGGTTGTGAGAAAAAATTTAGTTTGCTACTCTATCTTTTGAATTATATTAAGTGTTTTTTAGTATAAAAGTGTTAATTATTTAAATATTTAAATTTNGTGAGAAGATTAAATCTTATGCTAGCCTAATATCTCGGATTGTGAGAAAAGTTTTAGTTTGCTACTCTATCTTTTGAATTATATAAAGTCTTTTTTTAATATAAAAGTGTTAATTATTTATATATTTTTATTTTGCTACACTTGTGAAAAATGATTATGTTGAAGGGCCTCGTAATGATTAGTCGCCTAGGGTCTCTTAATTCTCAGGGCCGGCCTGAAAAAAGCCATGCTTTCGATTATAATTTTCCATCAGATGGCCCCAGTCAAAGAACGGGAAGACAGCGGACGTATGATTTCCATCATCGTATATTGCATAATGGAACCAAATCGTATCTTGAGCTCTGCTACAACCACATCCCGATTCACAGCATGGGTCACAGCCCTCTCACATTCAGGGGCGGGGCCCGCGATTAAAATGATCACATTCAGGGCCGGCCCCCGCCGTTTTGTGAGGAGGCTATGACCCGAGCTGTGAAGCTTGGGCTGTACAAATAGCAATTTCCATCTTGTAATTCTAGACTTGTGATTAGGGTTTTGGAAAATGAAAATGACGTATTTTTCTGAGCACTGGACATATATTGTCAAAATACTCGATTTTTTTAGTTTCAACTATCAGTTTTGCACTACAAACAATACTCGAATTTGGGACTTAAAAACTAGTCTGCAATTATTATTTTCCTGTGTGAGCTTTCCATGTTGAGAGAGGCTAGGTGTACCGGTGGTGGGTGACAAACACCCTGATCGGCCCCTCACATTAGGGGGGGGGCCCACATTTTTTTTTCAATTTTTTATTCATGTGGGGCCAGCCATTAAGTGAGAGTTTGTCAACTTTTTTGTCAAATTTTTTTTTGTACAAGTAGGTTTTTTCTTCCTGGTTTGGGATGACTCTCTCTCAGACGTAACAAAAAATGAAAAAATGAAATTACCAGAATTGAAGATCCGAACGGGATCACCAGTGAGCATGTTCAGTTGCGTTTCAATCATTCGCATGAATTCCATAGCTTATTGCAAAGCCCTCGTGAGCTCTCCTCGGTACTTAACCAGAATGTCATAGTAATCTTCCTATACACAGATCAGAATTTAGAGATCTAATTTGTCAGCATAAAATCTCGATGATAAATAATGTAATTAAACTAATTACCATGAATTGGTCAAGTTCTGGGTCCTTTGGATCATCTCTACTGCTCGCTGAAGCTCGCTGTCTTGTCTCAAACTCTTGGAGAACCGCCGTGATCTGAGCCACCACCTCGGGCGCAGCACCCACCTAGAGAGAGTGTGTACACACGGATAATGAATGATTTCGTTCAAAATCGATTGTATTACTCAACAATGAAAGTTTACCTTTTGACAATCCATATAAACTTCCAGAAGGTTGGAGTACTGAGGAGGAGCAATAATCTTGTCTTTAATGGCATCAACTTCACTAGAATTCTCATAATCTTGTTGCCTTGGGCGATTATCTTGAATCGAATGGTGCCCTCTAATTATACGAGGGTAGTGAAACTTGGGAGCATGATTTTGAGATGTCCCAGCTTCAGTTTTTACAGCAGTATGACCTTGCCCTTCAGATTGTTCATACCAATCAATTGATTGATGATGAAAAATTTTAATTGGAAACCGGCTTTGCTGATTATTCGATCCGTTGTTTGTTCTTCCATATAAAGATGACCTTGGTGCAAAAAGTGAACCCCCATACAAGAAATTACTCCTTGAAGATATTGTGTTTTCACCTAGTTGATTATATTCATCCATATCCCAACAAGCCCAAATGAGCAAAGATAAAAACCCTCAACGCTGAAATAATTTAAGAGCCCAACAAACAGTTGGAGAAAAAATGAAACCCTAAATAGTGGAAAGACCAACTTATTTTCTATCTAACAACTTCAAAATGAACATGGATTAAGAATAATGCTTGCTGGACAGGTCCAATGACAAGATGGAGAGATAGGGTGATGTGATAGATACTAATTGGATGTTATATTTTTATTTTTTAAACTATCCAATTATGTGTTGATAAGTGTCCCCTTATTTTTTTTAATCTATCTTTGAGTTCGTTGGTGTAGCGATGAATTAAAGACAATGTGATAGACAACTAAAATCTCTGTTTTCTTCTACGAGAAAGTGGACAGTGGAAAAATTTTCTTGTTCACTTATTGGACCATGAAATGATCATGAGGGGCATGAGAAATTGTTGATTTGCGTGAAAGAAGAGGACGAGGCAGAGTAAGGGTGACTTATTGGCTGGAAATCGACAAACGGAGCGCCTTGCGTGGGTGACAAGATGCTATTCATTTAAGAATAAAGAAATATATAATATGATAGTAAGAGAAGCTTTTTTCACTTGAGATCCGTTTGATTGCAATGGTGAAAAATAGGTGAAAAAAATGAATTTCAAAGAAAGTAATTGTCTAGAAATTATTTTATAGGGAATTGTTAATTAAGTGTATTTGATTGGTATAATTTTCCAACCGAAAATTTTTTAAATTTTGTGTACGTTTGACTTTGTTTTACATGGAAATTGTCCATTAAAGTGATAATTTTTTACACAATTTGTTATAAAATTTGTTTACTTCACCAAAAACGAAAAAAAAAAAATCCTAAAAAA